TATAACAAAGTCACAGGAGGTAGGACTAGCGGCCGCGGGAGTGAGCCTGCTAGCGCTAGGGCGAGAGCGCCAAAGATAGAGCCTCAGGTTCACTGCCACTCAGAGGTGACAGAGGAAAGAGAAAAGCAGGTGCAGCCAGTGTTGCCGGGGATAGAAAGGCAGAGCGGAGTCACGTGGGCACGGGAAGATTGTTGGAGCAGGGACACTGGCCTGTGGATCAAACGCTGAGAGGCGAGATCGGAAAATGGACTTTTGACTTCAGTAGAATCAAGGTCACCAGTGCCCCATAGAAGCTGTGTCCCGGAATAGTGAAACTAAAGGGAGAGAAATGAAGGTGGGGAGAGGAAGTGGAAGAGGAGATGACAGGGGTCTGAGGTTTCTGAGGAGTCCGGTGCTGGGGCAGGTTATAAGCAGACTGGGCTTCCATAAGGGAAGTATCACAGGAGTGAGCTTGAGAGGGAATTGGGAGCCAGAGGGGTCATCCAGGGTCTTGCTGGGTTTCCAGGGCAACAGATGGTGAGCAGGGCTGGGGCAGAAATCAGATGGCCCTCGTGAGATAGCTTCCTTTGTTGTATGCTTTGTTTTTTGAGACAGAATCTTCCTATAATGCCCTGACTCTCTGGGCTTGCATTCACTCTGTACACCAGGCTGGCTTTGAACTCACAGAACTGCCTCCCTCTGCCTCCCAACTGCTGGGACTAAAGGTGTGCACCATCATACCTAGCTGACTTCTATTTTTTTTTTCCTTTGAAGCATAAGGAACTTAAGGCAGGGGTATGAGAGGTCTGGGATTGCAGGTCTGGGTGAGCCACCTCGAGGGACTCCGGGGGTGTGTTGGAGGAGTGGGGGCCTCAGGAGACGTGGGCTGGGTTTGAACGTGGGTCCACGCACACGGGTGTGCTGGCTCTTAAAAAAAGACTAATTTAACCAGAACTTGGAGTCATCCTAGATGAGCTGGGTAGACTTTAGATGTGACAGTCATAATTACAATATGTGAGCGAGGGTGCTGGGAGGGTTTGGAGAGCTTGGAGGCCAGTGAGCAGCAGGTAGTGCTCAGAATGGGGTGGGGGAGGCGGCGGTTAGGAGCATGTCCTAGGCAGGGTTACCACTGTTGGGATGAAACACCATAACCAAAAGCAAGTTGGGAAGGAAAGGTTTACATTTCCACATCGTAATCCATAGTTGAAGGAAGTCAGGGCAGGATTTCAAACAGGGTATGAACCTGGAGGCAGGAGCTGATGCAGAGGCCAAGGGCGATGCTGTTTACTGGCTTTTTCCTCAAGGCTTGCTCAGCCTTTCTTTCTCTCTTTCTTTTTCCCTCCATTCCCCTTCATCCCTTTCATCCCCTGAGACAGGATTTCTCTGTGTAATAGCCCTGGCTGTCCAGGAACTTGATTTGTCCAAGATTGGCTTTATAAGTGGGGCAGTGGCACATGCCTTTAATCCCAGCACTCGGGAGGCAGAGGCAGGCAGATCTCTGTGAGTTCGAGGCCAGCCTGGTCTACAAGAGCTAGTTCCAGGACTGGCTCTAAAGCTACAGAGAAACCTTGTCTCACAAAACAGAATAAATGAATAAATAAAATAAAATAAATCAGTCTTATACTCACAAAGATCCACCCACCTGCGGCTGCCTCCCTGGTGCTGGGATTAAAGGCAAATGTCATCACATCCAGCTCAGATTGGTTTTTTTTATAGAACCCAGGACCTCACCCACAATGGGTTGGGCCCTTCCACGTCATTCACTAATTAAGAAAACACCCTACAGGCTTGCCTACAGCCAGATGTTAGGGAGGCTTTTTTTTTTTTTTCTCCTGAGGCTCCCTCCTCTCTGATGACTCCAGCTTGTGTTAAATTGACTTAACCAGAGGCAGGAAACAGAAAAGACTGCAGGCCTTAAGCAGACTGTCACATCCTCCCACCCAGCCCTTCTCAAAATGGAGCCGGAAAGGTGTATCCTAGCTTGACGTATGTAGATACCTTTGATCCCAGTACTCTAAGGCAAAGGCAGATGGATCTCCGAGTTAGGGGACAGCCTGGTCTACAGAGCCAGTTCCAGGACAGATGGGGCTACACAGAGAAACCCTGTCTCAAAAAACAAAGGAGGAGGAGGAAGGGAAGGGAAGGAAGGAAAAGAGAAAGAAAGGTCTATTTTACCAGAGACTTAGGAAGGGGATCTTCACTTTCTTGTGCACATGGGAAAGCTGAGACCTGGTGATATTAGATGCAAAGGCTGTCGTCCTGAACCTCAGCTCTGGGGTGAGGTAATGGCAGTGATGGTGTTGTCACTTCTTCCCTTGTCCAGCACCTGCAGTGTCTTCTCCCTCTGTCCCAAGAGCATTCTCCCTTAACTCCTCATTGTGTGTCCCAGCCCCTCTGCCCCTCTCAGAATCCTCAGGGAATTAAGGCGGTCCAAAGAGCTTTTAGGTGCTAACCAAGCCGCTTGCTTCCATTCCCTCACACACTTCCTCCTCATTCACCCACTGTCTCTCATCAGTCACTCGAGAGTCTGGGATGCTAAATCTCCATAAAGTATGAATTCTCACTCATCCAGTCCCCAGCTGGCTACTTCTCACCCAACCCCTAAGACCCCGAGCCCATCGTGAGACCCAGAAGCTGAGTGCATGGGTTTTCCATGTTTTTCCTATGTTCGCAGATATCCAGGCCTTTCCATGTCTGTTGCTTGTTTCTTCCTCAGGGTCATCTACTTGTCGCGTGTGCCGCCCGTCAGTCTTATTTGCCTCTGTCTTCATAACAGGACTGAAAATTATACCAATTGTCACTGATCAAACTTCACCCAGTATTTTTTTTTCCAGTGCTAATGGTTGAGCCCGGGGCCTTGTACATGTTAGACAAACACTGAGCTATATCCCCAGCCCTTCAGAAATTTCTACATCTGCCTATAAATAAATCCCCTAAACACATCTCTCTAATCTACAAAAGCAAAGTTTGTTCATCGGGCTAGAAAGATTGTTCAGCGTTTGGAGCTCTGGCAGCTCTTCCGTAGGACCCAGCATCAGTTCCTAGTACCTATGGTGTGGCTGTCTGAAATTCCAGTTCCAGGGGACTTGGTGCATCTTCTGGCCTGCAAGAACACTGCATGCCCACTGGTACAGAAACACATGCTGAAAACACTAATATAGATTAAAACTAAAATCTTTTAGTTTTAATCTAGGCGGCGATGGCGCACGCCTTTAATCCCAGCACTTGGGGGGAGCAGAGGCAGACAGATTTCTTGAGTTCAAGGCCAGCCTGGTCTACAGGGGTTCCAGGACAACCAGGGATACACAAAGAAACTGTCTAGAAGTGGGGGGAATCCTCCCCACACTTAGCCACCTGCACACTGCTCCCAGCAGCTCCGCTGTGTGGCTCATATCCTTCTAGAATTGTTGGGGCAGGAACTGGGGACTTGGTCTTGCATATGCTAGGCAAGTTTCCTACCACTGAGGTGTATCCCCAGTTCCCCGCCCCCATCCCAGCTTTAAAATTTTGAGATAAGATTTCAACTTAGTCACCCAGGCTGACTCTAATCCTGCCTCAGATTCTGGAATAGCCAAGACAGCACCTGACTCTTCTAGATCTTAATAGATATGTAAAGAGACAAACATACACATACACATTTAACATATAATGGCAGAGTTTATTTAAAAAAAAACACTCTGTATTTCCCTTTTCTCCCAACAGTAAAAGACAGACACAATATAGGACTGCATGGCAGATCCTTCATGCCTAGGGAATGGGTGGTGCTAGTGTGGGTGCACATGGATGGACCATCGTCACGCCCCACCCACCCCAGGGCATCAGGAGAGGCATATCTCCATGAGATTTAGTGTGTAGGCCCCTCTGTGGACTTATCTGTAGATGCCAGGCCAGGCATAGTACAGTAGGCTTTATGTAACGTGGTGGCATGAATGGATAGTGCAAGATCACCTCTAAAAAGGTGACATATCTTCCACTCCCACCACTGGAATGGCAAAAGAAGTCATTCCAGGAGGCTGGAGAGATGGCTCAGCTGTGAAGAGCACTGGCTGCTCTTCCAGGACGTGGGTCCAATTCCCAGCACCCACATGGCAGCTCACGACCACCTATAACACCCATTCTGGGGACCCAATGCCCTCACAGAAAAACCAATGAACATTAAAAGTCATAAAATGAGCTATTTCAGTCCCTGAGCTTTGGGGAAGCCACACCACTGTTGCTGCAGTCAATGACAGACAGGTGACCTCCTCTGCAGGTCAAACGTCAGCTGTGGGACTTCTCTAGCATCTGAAGAGGAAGGCTGGCCACCGCAGCACACATGGCAAAGTCGAGGATGAGGGTGGAGGTACCTAGCTTCCCTGCCCCAACTGAGGGTGAGTCAGAGAGCTCCAAGCTAAGCTGTGCCCCATGCAGGCCCTGCAGGGACTGAGTTCGGATCAGCTCCTCAGTCACAGGACAGATCTTCCCCTTTAGGGGTTAACTGCAGGTGGGACTAAACCTGGGCTCAGCAGGGGAAGAGCAGGGTGGGGGCTGCCCCTTCTCCCTCCGGATTCCAGGAGAGGAATATGGAAGAATACATTCTGTAGGCATCCCTCCACAGATGTCTAACCATATAGGTGGGGTTCACTTCCCACCCTACCTCCTAGAAGTCTGTTTTCTGGACGCTACCACCCTTAAAAGAGTTCCATGCTTATCAAGTTTTGATCTCCCAGAAAGCAGAGGAGACCAGGACACGGGGAGCTCTCCAGTCCATTTCTTTAGTACCCGCAAGCCCCAGGGATCTTAAGGTCAAGCTTTCATTCACAGCTTGGATGCACAGTCCTCCCAGGAGGCCAGTGCCATTGGAAGGAGCTGATTGGAGTTCGGCCTGAGTTCATCTCCATCACTACTTCCCAGCCAGAGACAGCAGTCAGTGAAACTTTAGCAAGTACATTTGTTTTGTGCGTGACTGTGGTGTGTGTGTGTGTGTGCGTGCACACGCACGCACGCGCGCGCGCGTGCGCACACACACACACACACGCACACGCTCAGCTCCCACAACGAAAAGTCATTCCAGAGTCTCCGAAGTCCTGGGCTTGATCCAAGAAGTTTGCAGGTGAGGTAGCTCAAAAAAAGGTTGTGTTTCTCATCTGGCCAAGAGGGTCCTCAAGGCTGTAGGGAGGAGGTGGTTCTTCTGTGGGAGTTGACTTCGGAACAACCTGCAGGGGAAAAAGTGTGTCCTGGGTTTGCTTGGGGCCTGAGTAAGGCACGACAAAGTCGATTGGCAGCCCTCTCCGATCCATTACTTCAACAAGTTGGATAGGGAGCCATGAAACAAGTTAGGCATTGGGACAGAAAGACCCACCTGATTATAGGGTGGTGGGGGATCCAAGTTGGTGACCCAGATCATAGTCTCTAGGGGGACACTGGAAGGTGGTTCTGGAGGTGTCTCATCATTCGTTCTGAGGCTCTGCTGTGGTCTGCATGCACGACAAATGCGCCTCACCACGCCGCAGAAGCACAGGAGAGGTAGCATGACCGCGAAAATGATGATCAAGATTCTGGGGAGGGGATGACATCTCCCTGAGTGCCTGGACCACTCCCCCTTGCCATATCCCCATCACCCACCCCCATTCTATTTCAGGTGGACCCAGTTCTCTGTGAAAGTGCCCAGGAGGGCTGACCCTCGGGCTTACCTGAAGGGGTCATTTGAAGGATCCCACATCTTTTTTTCTCGGCAGCATTCACTGTCACTATATCTGAATCCTCTGAGGCAGCTTCTGGTCAAGTGAGATAGGAATGGGGAGACATTGACCATAAAGTGTCAGACCAAAGGGTAACCTTGTTTCCCCAGACACCAATGCTCAGGTCGCAAGCCACCCTTAGTGGGTACGGGGTACATATCCATCCTGGGTTCACTGGGAGGAACTGAGGCCTAGACTTGAGACCCAAGTTTAGTGGGTCTACCATTGTTTCTCAGGCAGAATGATCATCGTACTACTAACCTTACAGGGCAGGCATGGGGCTCAAGTGTGGCTTTGCTCTTTTGACTCACCCTCCAGGTAAGAAAGGTTGGGGATTAACCACCGCTGGAGCTGCTGCCGTCATGCAGCTCCCAAGGTTGGACGGTGGGAGAGGGGCTAGGGTTTCAACCAAAGTAGGTTGAGTGAGGAGGCGTCTGTCTCCTTATCCAGGGCATAATCTGAGCACACACCACTCCTCCCCCACCCCAAGTCTCAACTGACAACTATAGCCCAAGTCTGATACTTACAAGAAGATACATCTCATGACCTGTGGGAGAAAAAAAAAAACCCAGAAGTCAGAAAACAGTTCAAAATCTGTGCGTTGGGTCCTTAGACTGCTTGCCCAGCATACACCTAGGTGTAGGGTTCAATTTCCAGCAATGACAATAAATCAAGTGTGCATAAACCAGCAGTGGTGGTACATGTCCACAATCCCAGAACCCAAGACGGCAGGAGAAGCATCCAAGGCTACATAGCCATTGTGAGGCCAGAGTGGGATTCAAGAGACCCTGTCTCAAAAAGAAGGGGAGGCTGGTTTCAGACACTGCTCCGGACATCTCAGACAGTGGGTCTCAGACTCTGTCTCTCCTTCCCTCCAGCTCCAGGGTCAATGATTAGAGACTGCCTCTGCCTTCGGAGTGCTGGGATTAAATAAAGGCATGCACTACCATGCCTCCTTCCCTCACCCCCTTTTTATTGAGACAGGTGCGGCTTCGATGTATAGCCCTGGCTAGCCTGGAATTCTGGAGATCTACCAGCCTATCTCCAGACTGCTGGATTAAAGGTGTGGACCATTATACCTGGCTCCCAGCTGATTTCCCCTGCCACACACACAGTTGGGGATTGGCCCAGGAAGCCACCTTCAGTGGATGCCCGGCTCCAGAAATGCCAGAAAGCAACCCAAGCCCCTCCCTCTTTGCACCCCACGTCCCAGGTAGAGGCATCTCTAGGAGTTCCCTAAACGTACCCACACCCCATTCATCCACAGGATCCTGCAGGGGGAGATTCAGGGCCTCCATACAGAAATCTATCCTGTTGATAGCTGTACTGTGGCTAAGCTCATCTTAGGTGTTCAAGGCATTTCCCTCTCTGGCCACCTCACTTAAAATGACAACCATTGCCAGCTGTGGCAGTCCTTGCCTTTAATCCCAGCACACCAGAGGCAGAGGTGGGTGGATCTGTTATTTTGATGCCAGCTTCACCTACATAGCAATTTCTAGGGCAGCCAGGGCTAGACCCCGTCTCAACAAATAAAGACTAGGAAGCCAGCTTTTGGCTTTGCTAAAGATCAGTACAACAGCACCTCATGGGCTGAGTAAAGACAAGGGGACATGTAACAGTCACCCCTGGGGATCATTCCCTCTCTCCATGCTCACAGGAGCACTGTTCTTCACTGAGAACAGGTACAGAAAGTTAAAAACACAGCAAGGGAAGCTGGGTGGTGTGGCGCACGCCTTTAATCCCAGCACTAGGGAGGCAGAGCCAGGCAGATCTCTGTGAGTTCAAAGCCAGCTTGGTCTACAAAGCGATTTTCAGGACAGCCAAAACCACAACACAGTTAAGGGGCCCAGGAACTCAGTCACACCCCCTGCTCTTCCAACATCAGACTCCCCCATCAGACTCCCCTCCTCCTCCTGTACTACATTTTTTTGAGTTTTTTTTTTTTTAAACATGGTTTCACTTTGTAGCCCTGGAACTTGTTCGCAGACTGGCCTTCAACTCAAGAGTTTGGCCTGCCTGCCTCTGTGCCCTGAGGGCTGGGATTAAAGGCAGAACTACCACCAGCACCTTGTTTCTCTTAGAAAGTTAAGTGGTAGCAATGGTCACACCCACCTTAATTCCAATGCACTTTTGGTTCCAGGGCTAAGGTAGCAAAGTCAGACCTCTGCTGAGTTCAAGGTCAGCCTAATCTACGTATCTATAAACTATGTAAGAATTTAAAAAGTAGTGGTTTAATGGCAAAGTTAATAAACTGAACCAGAGCCGGGTGGTGGTGGCGCACGCCTTTAATCCCAGAACTCTGGGGGCAGAGGCGGGCGGATCTCTTTGAGGCCAGCCTCATCTACAGACCGAGTTCCAGGACTGGTTTTATAGCTACTGAGAATCCCTGGGGGGGGGAGGGGCAAGGGACGACACGCAAGCCTGAACCAGGACTACTCCCCTCCCCATCTTAACCAGGGGGTGGTTTGATCTGGGATGGTTAGGAGCCTGAGTTGTAGAAAGCATAGGATGAGATTTAATGTGGGATATATTAGCTTTTACTGGGGAGACTGACAAAGCCTATACTTGGGACTGCAGAGAGGGTGTCCGAAAGTGGAAAGAATGCCTTGAACCTGGGTTCATGCATGGCTTTGGATGGAGAGGTTCAATTCCAAACAGTCGGTGAACTGCTCTGAGGAGCAGGCGTGGGACTTCACCCCCTAACCCCAACCCAACAGATTCTCAACCAAGATTGTAAATTTTTAATTTTTAAGGCTTGTACTGGCCAAGCAGTGGTAGTGCACACCTTCAATCCCAGCACTGAAGAAGCAGAGGCAGGCAGATCTGAGTTCGAGGTCAGCCTGGTCTAGAGAGTGAGTTCCAGACAGTCAAAGCTACCCAGAGAAACCTTGTCTCGAAAAACAAAGCAAACAGATTTATTTGATCACCTCTCAGTTTGAAGGAAAGCCAAGACACTTAATTAAGAGAAACAAGAGTTTGGGGCAGCCCTCAAAATCTTGCCTGCCTGGATCACAAGCCAGAGGCCACCTAGCCTAGGTCAAGGGAGCCAGGTCTCCTCCAAAGACAAGAGTGAATGAATCAAGAGCCTCCTCTCCCCTAGTACACTTAAGAAAAGTCCCAGAGAGGGCTGAGATACTCCCCCAAGGTATATTCTCCAGTCACGGAAAACAAGGAGAGCCACCTAGCCCAGACACATGGGACCCTCAGGTTCCTCAGCCACGACAAAACGGGGGTCAAAGTTCCCACTCAGGGCTGTGGGTGGAGTCAGATCCCACTAACAACACAACCGGACCAACACAACCCGACCAAGACTAGCGACCCAGGTTTCCCCAGAGCCTCCCTCTGAGGTCCCTACCTCCACTTTCCCCAAGCAAAACAGAAAGAAAGGAAGTTGCTAATTGTCAGTGGTTACAAGGAATTCCCGCCAAGGTAATGCGGGGAGAAAAGGCTCAGAAGTCTTGCTTACCTTGTTGGCGCTTACACGTTGGAGACTGGAGAGCAGGCCGAAGAGCAGGGTGAGAATGAAGCCTGGGATCCAGGCGCCGGGCATCCTGGCAAAGGGTCAGTCACTGAGCTTCCGTGTGCAGGGAAGGAGTGACAGGGAACGACCTTTCTAACTTCCCTCCACCTATGGGGCCCAATCTCAGAGTGAGGGCGGAGTTAACACACCTGAGTTGGGCCAGACTATGGTTTCTAGGCCGAGCTCAGGGACAAGAAGTGGAGAGGAGCTGAATTTGCTCGAGTCTGAGGAACTCGAGGTGGGAGCCGCTAATTTAACCACTTTGTAGGCCGGATGTAGCAGAGCACTGTGGGAATCACTCTTCTGGGCTGCATTTAAGTAGCTAGAGTAGGGTGTGGTGACACCAACCTTTAATCCCACCGTACAGAAAATCTCAGTGAGTTCAAGGTCAGTATGATTTACCTAATGAAATCCAGGCCAGCCAGCATTTAATAATAATAATAACGATAATAATAATAATAACAACAACAACAACAATAGTGGTAGAAGCAGCAACACTAATAATATAATAATAGTAATAAATTAAATAAAGAAACCGGGTAGTGGTGGCGGCACACACCTTTAATCCCAGCAACTGGGAGGCGGAGGCAGGCAGATCTTTGTGAGTTCAAGATCAGTCTGGTCGACAAAGCAAGTTCCAGGACAACCAGAGTTACAGAAAAACCCTGTCTCAAAACAACAACAACAGCAACAACAACAACAAAACCAACAAGAAAAAGAAGGAAGAAAGGAAGGAAGGGAGAAAAAAAGAAAGGAAGAAAGAAAGAAAGAAAGGAAGGAAGGAAGGAAGGAAGGAAGGAAAAGAAAGATGGAAGGAAAACGAATATGGGGCAGCGGGCAGTCTGGGAGGATGCCTATGACTCAGGGGTTAAGAGCACTTGTCCTTGGACCTGGGTTGGGTTTCCAGCATTTACATACATGATGGCTCACAGGCATCAGAGTTATAGTTCCAGGAGATGACACCTACTTCTGAACTCTAAGGGCACCAGGCATGCACATGGTGCAGTACATATGCACAGAAGATGAAACAAATAAATCTTAAACAAAAGCAAAAGAAATAAACAGGACCAGCAGATGATTCAGTGGGTAAAGGTGCTTACTGTCAACCCTGAAAAACCTGAATTTTTTTTTCTTTGAGACAGGGTTTCTCTACATAGCCTTGGCTGGTCTTGAATTCAGAGATCCACCTGCCTCTGCCCCCCAGTGCTAGAATTAAAGGTGTGCACCACCCCGCCCAGAGTGATCAGCTCAAGACTGCTGAATTACGCCTTCCCGCCCCCCATCTCACAGACGGGTCCTGTACCTGAGATGAGAAAGGCGTGCAAAGGGAGGAAGGCAGAGATTTCAGAAAGTCAGGCCAAGGAACAAGAGGGATAGTGGTGGTGGGGGAGGAGCGTGTGGTCATATAAACTATGAAAGTCCTTTGTGCTTTGTCCAAGGATGGAGGAAAAGGCATTTGGGTTGGGGAGGGAAAACCCTAGCACGCATCCACACGGTACCGGGACGTTAGTGTCCCCTCCCCTTTGCAATTTTGTGGGAAGTTGCTGGTACATGTCCTTTTAATTAAAGATAAATTGAGGCTAGGAACTTAATTACTAAGTACTTAATGTGAAAACCGAGGCTACGGACTTGTCTATTGTGATCAAAAAGCCTATAGCCCTAAATCAGGCGTGATTCCTGGAAGGACTCAGGCGGTCAGAGTCGGGCCGCCAGGTGGCAGCATCGCCCAGGGCCAAGGTGCACGCAGGGACCTGGGACTTGATCTGAGAGGCCTCTGGCAAGAAAACAGGTAGACAGGTGTATGCATGATAACTGTCAAGGGTGGAAGAGAGACGTGTAGCGGCCGAGTCCAGGGAAGAGGAGCAATGAGTTGGTGGCTGGGACGCAGCCTGATCTGGGGACGCAGGAAGGTCACTCTGGGAGTCTTTGGTGTGGTTGCATCCCCTGCTACTGGGTGCACTCTGACTGGGCCGCTGGGAAACAGCTGGCTTCTTGGAGCCCTCCCCCGCCTTCTGATCCCCGTTTTCTCTGTCACACCGAGAGACTCTCTAAGCCTCGCCTTTCTTTCCAGTCTCCGTTTTCCGATTTCAGTATTTTGCCACATCTCTAAAGGTATCAATTTGGGCGCTTCCGTTTTCCGCTCTTGTTCTCTCGGTCACCCACTGTAGGTCCCTGGAGGAAAGGGACTTGCGGTTTTTGCTTTCTGCATTCTCTAGACTGCTTTGGTCCTGCACTCCACCCCCACCCCTTCTGACGCCCAGGGACCCTCCAACTCGCTCTTTCTTCTCCAAGGAATAGGTCTCTGGTCTGTCTCCCACTTTCTGCCTGTTTCTCATTATCCCTTGGCCCTTTCTGCTTCTTAAAAACAGAACCTTCCAGGACTAAGCCAAGCGCAATTGGGATCTGGCCCCAGAGAATCCCCTCTCCATTCGCAGCCTTTGGTGACTGAGTCTGGGGAGACAGATGGGAAGGAGTATGCACGCCCCTTGCTGCCCGCCCCCACTTCCCACCCCTGCAGCAGTTAGTTTAGGAGCCTGACCAGTCGTCCCCCCCCCTCCCGCCCCGGCCCCAGCCAAGGAGAAACAACACTCACACTTCTGCCTCTTGAGGGAAATTCTTGCTAACTTTGACTTCTGATCCTCCGGTCCCTACCCAAGCCACAGTGTCTCCCAGCATCCATGTCCTGAGATATACTTCTGTTGCCGTTCATTCCCTGCTACCTGCCACACGGCCCAGGCTTGGAGCCTTCTAGAATTGTGCTTCAGGGAAGAGAAGATGATCAGGCCCCGGGGGCGGGGGGTACCTTTGGGGGGGGGGGGGGATGAGATGGGGCTTGAGAACTGAAGGGAAGTGGCTAGTGCCAGTGGCCCGAGGGGCAGAATGAAGCTGGATCATTTCCTTCTGGGTTTCTGTCATCCACTTTACTCAGACCTAATGTTGCCAAAAGAATAGAAACAAACAACAACAACAACAAAAAAAAAGAGACACCCAATTAAAGCTGCATTTAGGTAATACTAAAATTTATTTGTAACGTGAAATTCAAAGTTACCTAGATGATTTTTTTTTTCAAGACAGGGTTACTCTGTGTAGCCTTGCATGTCCTGGAACCCACTCTATAGACAGACCAGGCTGGACTCAAACTCAGAAACCTGCCTGTCTCTGCCTCTCAAGTGCTGGGATTAAAGGCTACCATGGCCCCCACTAAATAAATCCAAGTGTCTTGTGCTTTGCTTGGTACACCTGTGCCTGCCCACATTTAAAATGCCACAGGAGTAGACACTGGGGAATAGCTGCTCCACCCTCTTCCCTCCATCATCTCACAGGAGAAAGTCTGGCCCCCAGACTTGACTTATCAGGCAGAGTCCAATGGGTCCCTAGAAGTTGCCTCTGGCCTCCCAGTTCCATAATACCACATAATACCTCTGTGTTCCTTTCTGAAGACAGGGAGGGGATGGGAAGTCCTGCATAGGACAAGTGCCCAAGGCTCTTGCCAGCATCCACTAAGACTCGGAGGCTCAGCATTCTGGTAGATGAAGTCAGGTGTGGAGCTCAGTGGAGAGCTGGCTTTTGTAGTTTGTTTGGTTTTCTTTATTTGTTTGTTTGTTTTTGTTTTTTTGAGACAGAGTTTCTCTGTAGTTTTGGAGCTTGCCCTGGAACTAGCTCTTGTAGACCAGGCTGGCCTCGAACTCACAGAGATCCGCCTGCCTCTGCCTCCCGAGTGCTGGGATTAAAAGCATGTGCTACCACTGCCCGGCTTGTTTTGGGTTTTTGAGGCAGGGTTTTTCCTCTGTGTAGCCCTGGTTGTCCTGGAACTTGCTTTATACACCAGGTTGTCCTCGAATTCACCAAGTTCGCCCTCCTCTGCCCACAGAGTGTAGGGATTAAAGGTGTGCACCACCACCATAACAGTGAGAACTGTCTTTTTGTTTGTTTGGTCTTTGTTTATTTTTTTCTGAGATAAGGGTTCTCTGTAGCTTTAGAGCCTGTCCTGGAACTCATTCTGTAGACCAGGCTGGCCTTGAACTCACAGAGGTAGGCCTGTCTCTGCCTCCTGAATGCTGGGATTAAAGGTGTGTGCCACTACTGCCCAGCATGAAAGCTGTTCTTGTTCGTTCAGAGAGACAGAAGTCCTGTTTAAGGACTGTACCCCCATCTCCACCCAGTGAGCTGGCAATGGGGGTGGCATGTGCCTGCAGACAGGCATGGACAGACTCTTGCCTGCAGGGAACCTAGAGGCAGGAAGATCCAGAGACCTTCTGAAGTCTCTGGGCTCTCTGGATTCCACACCAGATTCCAGCTGGGGTTTCCCAACATGGGTAAAATCCCCATGCTCCCTGCACATCCACTCTCTCTTCTCCGGCCCATTTGCTGAAGAAGGAGTTGATTGTCTGTGGGCCCTCGTAGGGCCTGGTTGTAAGGGCCTGGAGGTCAGCTGGCCTCCCACGCTTGCTCAGAGAAGGCAGCTGGAGCCCAGAGGCCAGAAAGGCCAACTCACTGAGGACGTGAGGGCTGAATCACCATTACAACCACGCAGGTTTTGAGACCCCACACACAGCTCAAGTGGCTACATCTCAGCCAGGGGAGCCATAAACCTCTTGGAGGAACACTGCTGGGGATTGGGGGAAGGAGTCCTTGCCTATACCTGCCTCGCTGACCCTGGGGAGGAAGAGCTAGGTCGCCTCTGTCAAGTTTCATCCCTTCACATCCTAGTATTCGGGGAGACTTGGCTCTACTGGAGCTCTGCCTATAGGGGCAGTATTGTGTCATCTTAGCAGATACGCCATTTATGGTCTGCTGTGTGATGGTAGGCTCTCTCTAAATTCATTTGCAAAGGGAGGATCAACGAATCGGAGAACAGCGTGACACACACTGACTGTGGAGGGGAAGGCCTGAGCTACTCAGTGACACTGAGGGGTCCTATGCAAATTAACACACAGCCTGCTTCTCCTACCGCCTCCCCCCAAGCTGGGCAGACACAGGCAAAGTCTCCCCTCCCCTCTCCCAATTGCTCGGTGCCTGGCATGCAGCAATAACAAATAAACATGACCTGGGGTTTTTG